TCGTCTAGGTATCACTAGAAGATATCATGTGTAGCACCTGAAACTTCAATGGCAGAATATGGAAAATGAAGGCATTGATAAAGAAGTATTTTACATGGCTGAGACTTAATAAAGATGCAGTGTAGTCCTTTAAATTATGTCAGGTAGTAGGAAGGCTTCAACATGTAATTAAACTAGTACCTTTGATAGCCATACCAGTTTTTGAAGAACCATTCAGTTAAAAGTGTCAGTGGATTGTGGAGGTCCATCACTGAAAATGAACGCAGGTCATCAATACCTCCTAACAATAATGGATGGGACAACGCAATTTCCAAAAGCTATTCATTTGAGGACAATTACAGCTAGGGTAAGTAGGGGAAAAGTTAATACAATTCTTTATTCGGTATGGACTACCAATTGACATACAATCTGATCAGGATTCTAAATTTATATCTGAAGCTTTACAGGAAAGCATTAGCAGTTTGGGAATAAAACAATTGAAGTCAGCTTTGTATCATCTGAAAACACAGGGCTCCATCAGTTTCTCGAAACCACAATTAAGGTACACTGTCACAAATACTCGCAGGACTGAGACGAGGTTAGAGCCCCAAGTCTTTGCTCTGTCAGAGCTCACAGATTTTGCACTATCCAGTGCCTGCAGCCATTTATTAATATCAATGGAGCAAATTAAATTGGCTGAAAACTGGCATGTGTGATACAAGGGAAATCAGGAGGAGGCTGAGGTGGACTACTTACTCGACATCTCTGGCAAGTGCTTTAGCCTTATCTTTTTCACAAACACACAGGGTCCCATCATTGAAGATGGGGATGTTTCTGCAGCCTCCTCCTCCTCTGAGTTGTTAAGTTGTCCACCATAATTCACAACTGGATGTAGCTGGACTGCATGATCCACTGGTTGTGGGATCATTTAGTTCTGAATATCACTTGCTGCTGACGCTGTTTGGGATGCAAGTGGTTCTGTGTTGAAGCTTCGCGAGGTAGACCCGCTATTTTCAGGCATGCCTAATGCTGTTCCTGGTGTGTCCTCCTGCACTCTTCATAAAACCAGGGTTGATCCCCTAGCTTGATGGTAACGGTAAATTAGAGAAATAGACATATGGAAACATAGAAAATATGAGCACCAACAGGCCATTTGGCCCTTCAAGACTGCTTGGTCATTCATTATGATCATGGCTGATCATCCAACTCAATAGTTTGTTCCAGCTTCTCCCCCATATACTTTTATCCCTTTAGCATGTCTCTCTCAGTCCTATACAGTTTACCCTGTTTCCTTAGATGGTGACCCCCTGGTTCTGGACCCTCATGGCATCAGGAACATCTTTCCTGCAACCACCCTATTAGAATTTTTAGGTTTCTATGAGATCCATCCTCATTTTTCTGAACTCTAACAAATATAATGCTAATCAGTTTAACACCTCTTCATGCATCAGTCCCTCCATCCCAGGAATCATTGTGGTATAACTTCACTGAGCTCCCTCTATAGCAAGAACATCCTTCTTCAATCAGGAGAGCTAAACTGCACACAATATTCCATCGTGTTCTCACCAAGGCCCTGTATAATTGCAGCAAGACATCTGTTCCTGTACTCAAATCTTTTCATGGTGAGAGCCAGCGTACCATTTGCTTTCTTTACCACCTGCTGCAGCTGCATGCTTACCCTCAGTGACTGGTGTACGAGGACACCCAGGTCTCATTGCATGTTCCCCTCTCTCAATTTACAGCTATTCTGATAATAATCCGTTTTCCCACTTTTGCTGCCAAAGTGGATAACCTCACAGTTATCCACATTATGTTGCATCTGCCTCACCCTCCCAGCTTTGCGTCAACTGTAAATTTGGAGAGATTGCATTTAGTTTCCTCATCCAAATCATTAACATGTTGTGAATAGCTGAAGTCCTAGCAGTGATCCCTGTAATATCCCACTAGCCACTGCCTGCCATTTGGAAAAAAAGACCCGTTTATTCCTACTCCTGTTTCCTGTCAACCTGTTTTCTATCTATCTCAAAACCACTTTCAATCCCATGTTAATTAATGTTACACACTAACCTCTCATGTGGGACTGTATTGAAAGTCATCTGAAAGTCCAAGTAAACCACATCCACTGGCTGCCCCTCATCAACTTTACTAGTTACATTCTAAAAGAATTTCTACAGATTTGTCAAACATGTGCTCCCTTTCATAAATCCATACTGACTCAGTACAATCCTGCCACTGTTTTCCAAATGCTATTCTATTAATACTTTTATAATAGGCTGTAGCATTTTCCTCATACTGATGTGAGGCTGACTGGCCTATAATTCCCAGTTTTCTCTCTGCCCATGAACTTAAAGTCAGAAATCACACGACACCAGATCATAGTCCAACAGGTTTATTTAAAATCACAAGCTTTTGGCGGGCTTCTCCTGAATAAGGAACAGCACTCGTAATTTTAAATAAACCTGTTGGACTATAACCTGGTGCCATGTGAATTCTGACTTTGTCCACCCCAGTCCAACACTGCACCTTCACATCATCTCTTCTTAAATGGAGGGGTTATTTAGCCACCATATCTTTGGGAACTGTATATCAGTCTATGAGTTTGCAGATTGTGGTTGAACACATTCTGCTGCTGCCAATGGCCCAAAACACTTCATGGATGCCCAGTCTCGAACTGCTGTTTGAAATCTATCCCATTTAACATTGTGATAATACCATACTAAACGATGGAGGATATCCTCAATGTGAAGACGTGGCTTTGCCTCCACAAGGACTGTGTGATGGATGATCCTACTGAAACTGACATGGACAGATGCATCTGCCATTCAGCAGACAGACTGGTGAGGATGAGATAAAGTAGGTTTTTCTGTCTCATTGGTTCCCTCACCACCTGCCACAGGTGCAATTTTTTTTTCCTTATTCATTGACGGGATGAGGGCGTCGCTGATTAGGCAGCATTTATTGCCCATCCTTAATTACCCAAAAGGCAACTAAGAGTCAACCACATTGTTGTGGGTCTGGAGTCACATGTAGGCCAGACGAGGTAAGAATGGCAGTTTCTTTCTCAAACGGACATTAATGAACCAGATGGGTTTTTCCAACAATCAACAATGGATTCATGGTCATCATTTGATTCTTTATTCCAGATATTTATTGAATTCAAAATCTACCATCTGCCATGGTGGGATTCAAACCTGGGCCTCCAGAATGTTATCTGGGTCTCTGGATTAACAGTCCAGTGATAATACCACTAGATCATCACCTCCCCATATATGTTTAGCAGCTATGTCCTTTAGGATTTGGTCAGTAGCAGTGCTGTTGACCCACTCTTGATGATAGACAGACTGTCACCCAGAGTACACTCTGCACCGTTGTTACCCTGAGTGCTTGGTCCAAGTGCTGTTCAACATGGAAGAATATCAACTCGACTGTCAGGAAGGATGGGGAGGCAGCGAAGGCAGTAGGTGGTAATCAGCAGGAGGTTTCCTTGTCCTGATACCATCAGGTTTCATGGGGTTTGCAGTTAAATAAATGCTGCAATTAAGTCATAGAGAACAAGAAGCTTTCACTTTCTGAAAATATATTACAAATCATCTTTCAAAATTCAAGATTTAGAAGCAGATGCCATTACATACAAACATCTCTAAAACTTAATCCCCATAATTTTACAGAAAGAATTTGGAAATAAAAGTAAACTCACCTCAGGGTTCATTAGACAAATCACTCAATTGACAGCACACAAATGATCATTTTATTACAAAATAATAATGGCTATGGCGTGCTAAAAGCCAACAACATGGAAAGGAACTAAGATACTGTAAAAAGAAGCAATAATGCTCAAGTTGTTAAGTTTCCTATCAAGCTCAAAGTGTCATTGCCTGCAACATATTCGATATTGGCTTGGATTTCAATTTCAGCAACAGGCAAACATCACCAGCTACTTTTTACACTCGTACTTGACCACAGACTTTTTTGTAGGTTTTGCAATTTAAAAGCTTCATTGTACAATTCAATATTATAGAATTAATTCAGTAATGCAAATCTTAGCTATTTATAATATCCAGAAATCAATAACTCCCAAATAAATTCTGCATTTCATGCTTTTTATGTTCATAATTGTGTTGATTATATTTTCAATGATAATGATGAAACGTGTTATGTGCAATTATAAGCTATGCAATATTTATTTGCTTATGTGATGACATTTTTCACCTGTAATTATTTGGCACACATCAAGCATACCACAGACACATATAATCTTGTCACACACAGTGGATAATACTTTGAATTTTGCTTCAGGAAAGGAAGACATTGAAAGGTAAAAGCCCACCATAAACTGTGAGGATAAAGCCTGAGCACTTTTATAAATATCACTGCCACTCTGAAATATGTCTATACAAAGTAAAAAAAAAGCACTTGCTAATATTTTTCTGTGCAATGTATATAAACACTTAACAATACTTTGTAGTTTTCTATTGTCATTTTCTTTCTAGCTAAAGGTTCATGTCTGAGTGTGACAGAATTGAATTACATGGCTTAAATGACAATGGTATCGTGAATTTGTTTCACTGCTACAGGAAAATATCACCACTTGTGTAGAGAATAATGGATATCAATGTGACTGAAAAGTGATAACATAAGTAAGGGTTCAAAAATGTCAAGAAGTGAAAGCAAAGCTCAAGCACTTCTGTCTGTCATCTGAAAGCCAAGTTAGATTACAGCATTGAAATCACATCAAGTCACCTGTCTTTTCTTATACATCCTGTTTAGATATTAAATAAGGAATTTATTCAACCATGAGACAATTTTTTGTGCTGGCAACTACACTCTCAAGATTTATTTTGTATGTTTTCCTCTTTCATAATGGTTTAATGATGTGATCTTCTTAACAAAACTTGACTGAGAAGTGGTCAAAATGACAATATATATCTAATACATATTCCAAACCAGAAAATACATTAGAGGCATTAAAAGACAATTTTTTTTAAACTTTAAACATAAGGAGCACTTCAATTGTGTCATACCTGTGTACCCAGCACTCGAGAGCTACCTGGCTGCTGGAAATCTTTCATTCTCTCTGGCAAGTTTGAATGTTCACTTTTGCAAATATGTGGAAGTTGGGCAGGAAGACAATGCTGGTTCACATCATCTTGTACTTTATATTTAGGCTGCAGGAATCCTAGAATAGAATTGTATCATTAATTTACCTCAACTAACCCTTTATAACGAACAAAGTTACGCTTTCTGATAAGGGCAAATGCTCAACATAATTATTAGGCTACTAATAGAATTTAACTTTTAAATTATTTATCTTGATATATTATTCTTGGTAAAATATTTGTTAACTGTACAATAAAAATACAGTTCTACTAAGAACGCATGCAGTGTTCTCCACAGATGTGCTCAGAAAATAAAGTCAGCTCGCAAGTAATCAGGTCGCAAACATAGACACACTGACTATCTGGTTTACAATATCTTGCAATGTTGACATCTTGACATGTTAATTAAGAGACCGTACTCTGCCATTGTCAGTATGGTGACATCGTGCAACCAGTTCACTACAGACTTTTCCCATTACCCAGTCTTCATAAAACAATCCATTGCTCATGGATTCTATTCAATTTGTTATAATGACAGCATTTAATCACATAGCCTGCACTATGTCAGAAATAAGGTCACATACATGACCGTTGAGCTGTGCAGCAGATAACGTATGGCTGAGGTTTCTCACACAAGCTGCTCACAAATACACGCATTATCAGTACAAATACTCAAGAAAAAAGGAACATTGTTTAAGTTATGTGTGTGTGGCATTGCTCAATTTATATTGCTATACAATGTTAATGCAGTATAAACGTCAAATTTAAAGTACAATGAAATTACATGATAAAGCCACCACTGGTGCACTAATTATTTTATCAGAAATTGTTCATGTTGCATGAGTTAAATTTGAGATTTTACATTAAAATTTTAATATGAATACAGTAGATGCCAATGGATTTAAAATTCTGCTAGTTGCCTCCTTGTAGACTTCATACTGATAAGCTTTGCTGGCAGGAACTCACATTCCACAAGTTAATTAATCTCTTTATTCCATGACCTGTTATCACACTGTGCAGAGAGATTTAGGAATGTGACTTGCTAAAAGTACATTTGACATTTACCTGCTGGAGATGGCTTAGGAAGGCAACTTTGAAATGCCTGCACAGCCTTTGCAGACACTGTAGGATCTGATGTTGAATGGCCAAACATGTCTGGCCCAGGATTGCTGTATTCAGCTCTGCGAGGCACTTCTCGTTCAAGTGTTTTTGCTTTTTGAGAAGCGTTGATCAGATGGGGTGCTTCCTGCAGGGATAAGGAAATGTCGCATTCAAGGTAGGATCTTGTTTTGGGAACATGCCTTCCTGTTGCCCGGTTGTTAGAATCTGGAAGGGGAAATGTTCCAATTCCACTGTCCAATGTTCTCATCTGACAGCTGGACCCTGAGTTACAGGAAGAATATGAGTGGTTGGAGGAATTGGAAATATTGGCAATCTCAGGCAACAAAATGCATGACTGCAGGGAAGAGCAACTTGGATAGATTTGCTAAAGGAACAAATACTATCATTAAAAAAATCCATCAAAATACTGATGCAAGCATTCTCACAATGAAACTGTGCAAAGCAAAATATAAAGTGATTCCTCAATGTTTCTAGTTTTGAAATGCATTGTTCATGTTTACCTTTTTCACAGAAATACAACATAAGATACTTTCTTTATCTGCACAGATATACATGTCTGAAGCAATTTATTCCATCTGCAGCTGAAGCCCTCTTCCATGTTACCTCCTGACTTGGCTATTCCAATGCATTCCTGGATGGCTTCCGTCTTTTATCCAACCACTGCACAATCCCCATAACATGTAACAATTCATATTAATACAACGCTTATACCTTGTTTCCAGCCACTTCACTGGTATGTTACGAAGCAAATATCTGACACTAATCTATGTAAGGAAATACTAGGGCACATGGGAAAAAGTTTGAGCAAAGAGGTAGGTTTTGAGAAGTGTCTTAAAGTAAGTCGAAGCAGCAATTTGTAAGGTGAGAAGTTCAGAGCTTTGGGCCTTTGCAGCTGAAGACATGGCCATCCAAGGTGGGGCAAGTACAAACTGGGCATACTTATGAGGTCATTCAAAACCCATCCAAAATTCTGATGCTTTCATTCCAAGTTATGTGAAGTCACGTTCACCAAACACTTGGCTCTCAAATAAGCAACACCTGTATTTTAAAATTCTAATCCTTCCTTTCAAACTCTGCCATTGCCTTGCCCCTCCTTATGTCTGCAATCAGATGTCAAGAGTAATGGACGTATGCCTTTGGTTGAACCACTACAGCATTATTAGGGTTAGTAATTTGCCTTGATTTACTGAAGTATGGTGTAGTCTGTTGTTGCTGGTTTTCTCTACTGATGTTGACACTCCAAATTCCCTTACACATTTCGCCCCTGTCAACAAAGTAGTAATAATTTTATAAGGCTGCTGGTGCTACTGTTACATTCACAGTGCACTCTGGGTAGGTTAGAATAAGCAAGAACTTTTGTTAGGATTGTGAGAGACAGATGGAAGTTAGAGGTTGTATGTTCTGAATATTTTCAACAATGCTTCCTGCAGCTCATCACAGCTTTCAAATGACTGTTAGGAGGCAGTAAGGACTGCAGATGCTGGAAGCTAGAGTCAATAGATGTGAGGCTGGAAAAGCACAGCAGGTCAGACAGCATCCAAGGAGCAGGGAAATCAACGTTTCAGGCCGAAACCCTTTGTCAGGACTGGGGAGGGAGTGGAGTCCAGAAATAAATCGAGGGAGGTGGGTGGGGCTGGTGAGGAGGGTAGGTGAGATGGAGATAGGCGGATGCAAGTAGGACGTTATTGTGGTTGGTCAGTGGGAGGGTAGAGTGGATGGGTGAGTCAGAAGATGGACAGGTTGGGGTGGAGAGATTTTGAAGGTGAAGCCAATATTCAAGCAATTGGGCTGTAAGCTCCCAAGGTGAAATATTAGGTGTTGTTCCTCCAGTTTGATTTTGGCCTCACTCTGGCAATGGAGGAGACCAAGAATGGACATGTCACCAGGGGAGTGGGAACGAGAGTTAAAGTGGATGGCAACCAGAAAATTGGGTTGGTTGGTGCGTGCAGAGCGCAGGTGCTCACTGAACCGGTCCTAAGTCTGCATTTGGTCACCGACATAGAGGACACCACATCGGCAGTAACGGATACAGCAGATGAGGTTAGATGAAGTGCAGGTGAATCTTTGCTGGATTTGGAAAGATTATTTGGGGCCTTGGACAGAGGTGAGGGGGAGGAGTAGGGGCAGGTGTAGCATCTCCTGTGTTGCAGGGAAAGATACCGGGTGTAGTGGAGGAGATGGTGGGCAGTGTGGAGCTGAGGGAGTCATGGAGTGAACGGTCCCTGTGGAAAGCGGATGGGGTGGGGAGGGAAACATCTTTCTGGTGGTGGGGTCTAATTGCAGATGTTGGAAATGTCAGAGGATGATGCGTTGTATTTGGAGATTGGTGGGGTGGTACGTGAGGACTAAGGGGATTCTATCCTTATTGTTGTTGGGGAAGAGGGTTTGAGGGCAGAATCATGGGAAATGGGGGAGATTGAAGGTATCCTTAATAACAGAGGAAGGGAAACTACACTCTCTAAAGTAGGAAGATATCTGGGAAGCCCTAGAGTAGAGTACCTAATTCTGGGAGCAGATGCGGTGGAGGTGTAGGAATTGTGAGTATGGGATAGAATTTTTGCAGGAGGGTGGGTGAGAGGAGGTGTTGTCGAGGTGATTGTGGGAGTCAGTGGGTTTGAAATCGATATCAGTTACTGGAGATAGAGATGGAGAGATCCAGCAAGTGGAGGGAGATGTCAGAAATGGTCCAGGTAAATTTGAGGGCACAGTAGAAGGTGTTGGTGAAGTTGATGAACTGTTTGAGCTCATTGCAGGAGCATGAGGCAGCACCAATACACTCAATATAGCAGAGAAAGAGGTGGAGGATGGTGCTGGTGTAGTTGTTGAAGAGGGACTGTTCCTACAAAATCCTACAAAGTGACAGGCATAGCTCAGGCCCATGTAGATGTCCATAGCTACCCCTTTGGTTTGTAGGAAGTGGGAGGAATCAAAGGAAAAATTGTTGAATGACTATTGTTTTGTTGGTGATCACAGTTGGAGGAATAACACCTCAAATTCTGTCTTGGGAGGTTACAGCCCAATGGCTTGAATATTGACTTCATCAGTCTCACAGACTGACACTTGCTTCTCGCTGATCATTAGAATGGAACATTTTGACCATCCCCCTCCACCCATTCAGGGTGCAGGCTTTAAGAATCAACTAAGCACAGTTTTGAATGCCATTTCAAACAGGAAGAGGTGGAGGACTGCTATAGACTGGAGCCAGACAGAGCCAGGCAGAGCCAGGCAGCATTTAAGGAGGAGGAGTTCAAGCTAGTAGTCAGCCTACAAAATTACAGTGCATTAACCTTTGATACCACTACAGGACCGCATCAATATTTATTACCTGACAAAGGCTCATTGACCTGAAACGTTAACCCCACTTTGCTTTCTCCACAGATGCTGCCTGATGTGCTGAGATTTTCCTGCATGTTCTGGGACAGAAAATGGCACCATAACTTTAACAAGATAAAAATAAGCAAAAATTCTTATTTAATCTGAATTGGTCTTTCTATATGATCTCTATAATTTTAATATTCTAGTGTGGCGAGGAAAGCGCAAAGCTTTTCAGTTATACAGAAAAGTAAATTTATCAAACAAACAACACAAAGTGCTCATGCACATCCTACCTATTTAATATAATTTATGAATTATTTCTAGCAGTTTACCCACAACATCCAATGATGATTCATTAAGATACCACGTACAATTGTTAAATTACATTGCAAACAAAAATGTTTACAATACTTCTTTCACATACACTTTTTTAATGCCCTGACCTTGACTGAAGTAACACAACTTGCCACTGAAAGAAGTAAGTTGAAATCTCAGAACTGCAGAGTGATCACAAATTCTGTTCCATATTTGTGAAAGTTAAAAAATAAAATATTTGGGTAATTAATTTGTTTCCTGCCAACTCTGAGCCTATAGCCTTTTTTCCTCAAAGCTCCTTCACCTGATTATCTCTATTGAAACCTTACTTTTGTTAGGACAGTGATAGTCCAGTTCTAATCAAAACTTTTGTCACTATTTACACTAACTTGGCAAGCTCACAGAGATACACTGCATATTTTAAATAAAAAGTATTTAATTGAACACCATCAATATACCCCATCTTAAAGATTGCAAACAATGAAAATAAAACATTTTATTTAAAGACAGAGATAACACGGTGTAGAGCTGGATGAACACAGCAGGACAGGCAGCGTCAGAGGAGCAGGAAAGCTGACATTTTGGGTCTGGACCTTTCTTCTGGATCCTTCTGGACCCTTTTTCTGAAGAAGGGTCCAAACCCGAAATGTCAGCTTTCCTGCTCCTCTGATGCTGCCTGGCCTGCTGTGTTCATCCAGCTCTACACCTTGTTATCTCAGATTCTAAAGCATCGGCAGTTCCTACTATCTCTGAGTGAGCCTTGTTTAAAAACAGTTTTGGATTGTTTGATTTTTGTATAATTGTCCCCTTATCATCAACACGGGAGTCCTTTCATAAAGGTGCACTTGTCAGAGAGATTTAGGAATGGAAGTGGGGTTACTTCAACCAACATTGTATTATGACACCAGCTAATTTACCCCATTATTCTCTCCTATTTTTCCTTTCTCTGTGGAACTTTTTAACTTGGCAATATGATCCAGATTAAGAGCTTAGTTCTAAAGTGGACCATAATCCTGGAAGTGGATCAGATTGCTTAGGAAATGTGTCCAATATATAGAAATCCCCTTCTTGATGGCAATTTGTTAGGGAAGGGTGGGATGGAGATGGAAAGATAATAGGGAAGTCTTATCTCAATTATGACTGCTATCACACAAATCACAGTGTCCTGCATGAGGGGAGACTGGGTCAAGGACAGCAGCTCCACATCCTCGTAGCTTCCATTTTTGTGACCAAAAAGCTGGGGCCTGGTGTAAGCTGAGAGGATGTCAATGAGTCACACAGAATGGAAACAGACCCTTCGGTCCTCCATGTCCATGCTGACCAGACATCCCAATCTGACCTAGTCCCATTCACCAGCATTTGGCCCATATCCCTCTAAACCCTTCATATTCTTATACCCATTCAGATGTCTTTTAAATGTTGTAATTGTACCCATCTCCACTACTTTCTCTTGCAGCTCATTCAATACATACACTACCCTCTGCATGAAAAAGTTACCCCTCAGGTCCTTTTTAAATCATTCCCTCTCACCTTAAGACTAAGCCCTCTAGATTGGCCTCACTGACTTTAGGAAAAAGGCCTTGGCTATTCACCACATCCATGCCCTTCATAATTTTATAAACCTTTATAAG